AGGAGGCCTGTGAACCCTGGTAAGTGAAGCAACTTTAAATCACAAAATCAGCACTTTGTTTAGAAATCAATGTCAACTCTAGAATTACAATTCTACGCCTGCCCAAGCCTGTATCCTGAGCACAGCTAATACATTCAAGAAAGAATTTAGACTTTCTCTCAGATGCTTACCTGAAAAACCTCAGGGAATATCTAAGTCTTATAAGTCAAGCTTGCAAACAACTTATGTCCATGTCTCTCTTTACTGAAACTATAGATCTCTTATCCTACTTGCTCTCAATAAACAAAATACCCTGATTGTCACAGATTTACAGAATGGTAGACTAGAAGAGACTTTGACAATAGTATAATCCAAACCCTACTGTAACACAGATAGGTGAAGAGATCACAAAGTGTAAGTGACTTGTTCAAGATCATTCAATGAATCATCCACCATAGCCTGAAGTATGAGCCAGGTCTTCTGCCTACCAGTCTTATGAATTTTCCACCATGCACAGTGACATTCCCCATGCAAGGATTCCAGCTGATTTTGATAAGACATCAATTAAAAGATACAGAAAATTGATTACTTTAAACCAACCAGTATCAAAAGGCACTATACTATGTACAGCAGGAGATTAAAAAAGAATAAGACTTGTTTATCATCTTGTCAGTCTAGTAGAACTGGGGTTGGATTAATTGGGAAGTTTAAATTGAATAACCACAGAGATGACTAATGGCAAAGCAGTAAATGAAAATTATCAAGAAAGATACAAACAAAATATTTCATCACTTCAAAGGAAAAAAATATGAAATTGAGTTGAGAGTATCAAGAATGGCTTTTATTTAGCTAGAAACGAAAAGGAAGTATTATTACCATTTCATTTAGTAAAAGAGGCCAGGCTAGGGATTACCTGGGGACACTTGTGGATCACCAACTTTATCAGGATTACAGTTAGCACAACAGTATATAATTGATTCTTTTCTATATGTAATTCTCTTGAAGCAACAACGAAGTTGTATAGTATATAAATTAGGACCTTATATTCTTAGAAAATCTCTGGGTCATCTAATTTATCTTGTTTACTAGCGTTTGACCAGATTACAGGCTCAATAGACAGTATCCTCTTCCTTTTAAGAACAGAAGTTCCACAAATATTTGTGGATCTGAACTGAATTTGACTTAACATGAGCCAGTTAGAAGATTTAAGTATCTCCTGAATTAAACAATTGTAATTAAAATAATATATTCACACTTTTACTTCATTGCCTCACCTTCACCCACACAGTCACCAAGATAAGAATGGTAGAGTTCAATATTGCCCAAAGCTCCTATCAGAGATAAGAGTCCTCAAAGGAACTGAAAAGGAAGGAAGAGCAAGGAGTGAAAGTATTAAGTGCCTGCTATGTACAAAGTTAAGAATTCCTAAAGAAATTATAGAAGACTGCTCAGAATCCCAAAATTGAAAAAAAAACACTACACTGTTGCCCAAACAATGTGACATTTACTCACTGTGCGTTTAAAGATTGGACTAAATTGTAATTGCAAAGTCACCACAAAAATGGATAACTAGATAGGTAACATTACACTTCTTCTACATGGGTCTTATAAATCCTTAATTCGCTGTGGATTTCTTTATAAGAAAAATAAGCTTTATCTAAACACAAAACTGTGACAGAGTCAAAGTTAATTTTCTTCACAAATAAGTGGAATTATAATTTCAGGATCAGAAAAGATTTTTATACAATCAACATTCAGTCACTATGGGGGGCCAGACCCTGCAGAGAGATTTAGAGGGTCCCTGGAAGGTGGGGTAGCGTTGGCAATTATTCTGGAGAAATAAAGAGAAAGAAAGAGAAAGGGGGAGAAAGAAAGAGACTGGACTCTGTCTAGTGCAGAAGCCGATTTAATGGGGCAAACTGCAAGTCTTTTATCCTAAAGTTTCACAGGCAAGATCACAAGATTTTCACATGAACACAAAGTCAGGTGGATGAGGGGCATCCCCACCCACCAGGTGTTTCCTCAAGCATGAGGAAGGACAATCCCAATATTATTTCACTGTTCCTTATGCTTGATTAATGTTCCTCACAAACAATACAATAATTCTAACATCATAATATTCTATTAATCAATAACTTCTAAAACTTATGCATTCCCAACACCTAATGACTGACTTAAATCCTAATACCTTTCTATTCTGTGCTAATTTTACCTGTACTATAAAAAACTCTTAATTATAGCTCAAACCAGTTCCTGAAGAATGTGGCCCAGTCCAAAGATCACACTGGGCCATTTCCAGGAACAATTGATTATAATCTCTTAACAAAATGGCTATTCTAAAATCCTATGTATCTATCTTAATTTCTATAAAAGTTTCTAATTCCTAATCCTAATATATGAAGCTGATCATCAGCAATGAAGCTTCTAAAATAAGACCCAAATACAAACTGTAATTGTAGTAAAACCAAAACCACAATTAGTAGAAAGTGGGAACAAAGAAATTTCTAAAGTTAGCTGTATTCTTATAAAACCTCAAAATATCATGTTTGATCATGCTTGAACTACATAATTCCCTGACGTAGCATAACCTATTCTATAATACTTTCTATGAATAAAATAAATTCAGTTTCTATTATAAGTAGAAAAAACCTACACTAATTGTAACTAAAGAACTGGTTTAAAAGAATGTAGCCCAGCCCAAAGTGGATGCTGGGCCCTTAGGAATGTGGCCCAGTCCAAAGTTCATGCTGGGCCATTTCTGGTAACTCTAGATAATCATCTATACCATCTAAAGCTGGAAACAGCTCTCTAAATGTATATACTAATTCAACAAATATACTTTTAAATCTTATAAAGAAGCTTGTACCATATAAAAGGCTCCCAAATGTGACCTGGGTTTGAGCTGTGTTAAGTTTAAAGCCGAAACCGCAGTCTGTGAGAAATGGGAACAATGGATCCCTAGAGTCAGTCATGCCTGTCATACTCTCAGAACTTCATGCTTAGATCATCAAAGTCCCTGCTAGTGGGTCATGCCAAACAACAAAGAAGGGAGGAGGGAATGGGCCTTCAGCTCCTGAACCCAACCTGGTGGTCTCAGGGTCCGCAGCCCACCTGGATCCCTAACACTCAGGCGGGCCTCCACAGCCGGCTCCCAACAAGTCACTACATCTTTATCAATGTACAGAGACCCAGGACAAGTTAAACTAACTTAAAAATATATATGTTTACTACCTGATGAACAAAATATAAAAGCCAACTCTGAGTAATTTCCCACCTGCAACCCACACTTTATCCAGACTGCAGTAGGTTATTTATGTCAACTCTTCACATGAAAAAGAGAAGACAATCTGGAGAGGGAAAAGAAATTGGAGGACTAAAAAATGATTATCTGAGAACAGGGTGGATTCAAACTACAATATTGTAGCCCTAAGTTCAGGCTCCTACTTTTTAAAATAAACTATGGCCAAGCACGGTGGCTCATGCCTGTAATCCCAGCACTTCGGGAGGCAGAGGTGAAAGGCTTGCCTGAGCCCAGGGGTTCTAGATCAGCCTGGGCAACTTGGCAAGACCTCATCTCTATAATAAATCAAAATAATTAGCCGGCAGTGTTGGCGCGCACCTGTAGTTCCAGCTACTTGGAAGACTGAGGCGGAAGGATCGCCTGAGCTCAGCATGTCGTACCTGCAGTGACTGTGAGCATGTCACTGCACTCCAACCTGGGTGACAGTGAGACTCCAATTCAAAAAAATACAATACAATACAATAAAAAGCTATGCTGTATATTTTTGTTGTTATTTTATTTTCCTGCTGGTGTCTTTTTTTTTTCAGTAAGATTCCCAGCCTGTTTCTACTTGTTAAAAATAAACTGAAAGAAGGCATTTATTTTGTTAGCACTTGGAACACAGATAAAGGAAACGTGACCAGCCTCGGGGGACCTTGCAGATAGGATTGAAAGTTTCCATAGGACAACACAAATTTAGAATAAACAATGTTCAGGTTGCTACTTCTTCAAGGAATTCTGTCTTTGCTCATTTGGTGGAGATTTGCTATGCTTTGTTAGATTCTTGGACATAATTTAATTAAAGAGAAGAGATATATACACTTAGGAAAAGTTAAGTATATACAAGGTTTCAAAACAAGCTGATCTCTGAAAGTATGTAATATATGCCAAGTTAGTGATATTCAATAAATGCTATTATAAGTTTATAGGGAGAAAAATCCAAGGTTTTTTAAGACAGTGGTCCCCAGCCTTTTTGGCATCAGGAACCGGTTTCATGGAAGACAGTTTTTCCACGAATGGGGAACTGAGGGGCTTGAGGGAGAAGTGCAGTCAAACTCCTAAGGAGTGGACAACCTAGATCTCTCACATGCACAGTTCACAATAGGATTCGCGCTCCTATGAGAATCTAATGCCACTGCTAATCTGACAGCAAGTGGAGCTCTGCTCACCTGAGTTCACCTCCTGCTGTGCAGCCCAGTTCCTAACAGGCCACAGACCGGTACAGGTCCTTGGCTCGGGGTTTGGGGACATCTGCTTTAAGACATTCTTTCTCCAAGGAAAACTATCTCTAAGCCGTCCAAAAAGATATACTTGATATTTTCAATGTTCTAACTCTTACTCTTAGCAAACTAGGTTCTTGGATGTGAACTTCCACATTATTTCCCCTTTGACCTCTATAACAAACTGTTTAAAAGAGAAAATAGGGGAAATGTCATGGTTTCACAGGAAGACTATTTTTTAATACTATGTTCTTTTTTAGATACAGAAACTACATGCACACAGCAGCAAACATCTGTGCTTACCCCTGGTCTGTGTCCCAAGTTTTTCCCCTTGGGAATGTAAAAAATGGATGAAGGAAATAGAAGGAGGCATGGAATCTGATGACTAGCCCTAAATCTGTCAGTAAAACTTGAATGTCCCATCACACACTCTGGTTCTGCACTTAAGACTGCTAAGCTCTCATGACCCTTCTGAACTGCTTCTAAGATTGTTGACTTCCTTTTCAATTTTATAATTTCAGCTTGGGCTTCCTCAGATATCACCCCACAAAAAGCACTGACCACCGTAAGAGGGAAGATTTATAAAGTGTACTGCTGTGACAGATAGAGGTATGGCTCCATTTCAAAAGGAAGCTTGATTTTTCAACCTGCAATTATCTTAACAAAATAACTTCCTTTATCATCTTCACTAAAATAAAACTAATTCCATTAATGTTTATTGCTCACTTTCATTAATCAACTAATGGCTTATTTGTTTTGTGCTAAGATGGCTCTTACTATACTGTATTGCAAACTTTTCACACTTCTGAGCTATCATTCCTCTCCCCCACCAGACTTTGAGCTGCTTGAAGGCAGGGATGGGGTCTTAGGTAGCCGAAGTTTCCAAAGAAACTCTCTGTAGTCATCTACTGCAAGTCACATTCTTGGAGTACTGCAGTAAATTCTATAAAACTGAATTAAATGCTTTCTCAGAAAAAATAAAGCCATCATCAGTGAAATGAGTGGCTTGGACTAAATTGTCTCTACACATCTGTAATTTGTTACTTGTTTGAAAGTTTTGCAATCTTCTTTTTATGGCCTAATATAAACTTTTGACTTGACTTAATTATAAGTAAACAATTGAATCTAAATATTGACGTTTCTAAGAAGGCTTATTTTGGTCGATAGGGTCTAGAAAGTTTACTAATGTGACTAGAGATTTTCTCTGTATGTTTTTACTGTTACTTATCAGTTTTATTTGGAATCTTTCATTCAAAAGATCTAAGAATGTCAAATTCAATTATAACACATAGCAGACAAACAAATGATTAGTCTATGTTCATGATATGGGTAGAGTTTTTTTTATTTTTTTTAGAGCTGAGGGGGTCTCACTGTTTTGCCCAGGCTGGTCTCAAACACCTGATCTCAAGTGATCCTCCCATCTCAGTTTCCAAAGTAGCTGGGATTACAGGCATGTGCTGCCATACCTGGCATAATGGGTGTTTTTTAACTTTATGGTTAGCTTTATGATTTAGCGACTTCCCTAAAACTTGAGGAAGCAACTTTAATTACACAACCATAGACTCTAAAACTGGGAAGGTTTTAAATCATATTGGAGCCAGGCTTGGTGGCTCAGCCTGTAATCCCTGCGCTTTGGGAGGCTGAGGTGGGTGGATTGCCTGAGCCCACGGGTTCGAGGCCCACCTGGGCAACTTGGCAAGACCTCATCTCTACAATAAATCAAAAAAATTAGCTGGTCGTGGTAGCGCGCTCCTGTAGTTCCAGCTACTTGGAAGGCTGAGGCGGAAGGATCACCAGAGCCCAGCAGGTCGAGGCTGCGGTGGCCAGAAACGGTCACTGCACTCCAGTCTGGGCGGCAGGGTGAGACTCCAATTCAAATAAAAATAAAAATAAAAAATAAATCATATTGGAATGAGAAGATAACTCAAAATGATTTTTAAATTATAAGTAACACCTTCAAATGATAAACTTGTTATATCATTAATTTACTCATTCACTCAGTTAACACATACTGAGTACTAATAGTCAAGGTACATATGTACTAGGGTCCTGTATGGAGTGCTTTCTTATATATCAGCCAGATAGTCTGGGAGGGAAGATAATACAATTATACAAATAATTGATTTGTAAGGTAGATGTAAAGTTCTTTAGAAGTTTACCAAAGACAGAAATTATTATAGATAGAGGCTGAAAGAAGAAGGTGTGATTTTAGCTGAATGATGCATATGCTACATGGAGAAAAGGTCATTTCAAGAAGATGACATACCATGAATATAAAGACAGGCAGGTGGAAAAATGTGCAGTACATGTCCCTGGTGTACTAAAATAGTTGTTTCCTGGAACCATACAGTATACAAAGAGGAGAAGTGAGAGAGAAACGGGAAAAGGCAAATTGCAGTCAGGCTGTAAGGAGTCTTAAATATCAGGCCAAGAAGTCTGAATTTTATTCTGAATTATTATGTCATAATTGAAAATTACAATGTATACAAAATTATTTGGAAAAGTGTTTGCAGCAAGATGATTGAGAGTTAATGGTGGTGGGAAGGACTGCTGGTAATCATCTAATATCTTTCAAGTATGATTCTTCCAAAGGCTGTATCAGTAGCCTTCGGGGAGGTACTAGTAAAAGGGTAAAAAGTTTCTGTTGTAAGATGAATAAGTTCTGGAGAACTAATATACAGCATGGTGACTATAGTTAATAATACTGTATTGTATACTTAAAATTTGTTAAGGAAGTAGATCTTAAGCATTCTCACCACACACATAGCACAAAAAGGTATGCGAGGTGATGACTGTGTTAATTAACTTGATTAAGGTATTATTTCACAATGTATATGTATATCGAATCATTATGTTGTACACCTAAGTGTATGTAATATTATTTGTCAAGTATATCTCAGTAAAGCTGGAGAAGAAAAGCTATTATCAAAAAACTCAACAGCACCATCTAGTGCCTCACAGCATAATACTGTCCAGTTTGGGAAATATGCCTAATAAAGGGCTAACAAAAAGATTAACTTTCCCTTTCTTCCATAACTGCATCTGCAACCAGAGAACCAATTGTGAAAGAGTCAGGTAACTTGAAAGAAAACTGAGAAATAATGCAATGGTTGGGAATAGTGGTCTCATTTTTCTCTATGGCCTCAGAATGATTCCTCTTAGATTTTTTTATCTTATACTAACAATTCTTAATGAAGAATTATGACATCGTTTAATGAAAGGGAAAAATATAGAACAACTAGCTGAGATGGCTAGATGAATGGATGACAACACATCCTCAACAGCAAACATAATTGTTAGTGGTAGTGAATCTGGGAAGTTATATCCCACCTGCAACCACTAGTGTAGCTATCTGTTCTGTATCCCTGGTATAGATCAATCCCCTCCATGGCTGGCAGTTTTTGCATGCTTGAGCAGTCTCCTCATCTTACAAACCCAAACTCTTTTTTTTTTTACCAAGGAGTGGGAGTTGTATAAAAGGTCAACATCAGATTTCAATCAAAGATTATCTACCATATTATATATTGATCAGTTGCTTCAACCTTTGTAATGAAAAAAAAAAGGAGAATCTGGAGGGACACTAAAGAAGTCACTATTCCACTACAGTATCTCATCCCAAGCTCTCTCTGATCAGAGCTTGTTGACTGCCCTGATAGATAGGGCTGAACTAGGCTAGACCAAGTACAACTTCTCACTATAAGAAAGTTTCAACCACTTATCATACTGTATATTGCCAAACAGTAAGATTTTTTGAGTAAAAGTATGGGAAGAAAATAAGAATGAACAACTACAATTCCTCACCTAATAAATATATTCCAGCTGGTTTTATCATATCTTTCCTCAGAGTTTAAATAATGGTGAAGATTTAGGAAATGTATTTCACCTCTCTGGAACGTTTTTCTCATCATTAAAATAACTAGATGACTTCTAAGGTTTCTCCAGCCATGATGTTCTGTGACTCTATATAGAGTCAACCATGTCTTAGATTTTTTTTTTAGATTCATGTGTCCTAGATTAATAATAGGTGAGTTTTGTTAACAATAAATTAGATTATTTTCCTAAGGTATGGGCAGCACCCAGCAGATGTTACCTAGGAAGTTTTCCTCTTCGGGGAACCAAACATTTTCATCCAGACCTTATTCACAAAAATAATTTAAAGCTATTCCAAAAGATGGTTGATAGATAGACGGATAGATGATAGATAGATAGATAGATAGATAGATAGATAGATAGATAGATAGATAGATATCTGTTAGGTCAAGAAGATGAGCAGATAGGAAAAGAGAGACAGGAGACAGGTGGCTCAACACCAACACAGGTTTATTTCAAGGCAGAGAACCTGCAGAGGGGACTCCAGAAATCTGAAGCTCACTACCACTTACAGACTAAGGCGGTTATAGAGCTTGGGGAAAATTTTTTGTGGTTGGAGTTGCTGAGGATAATTACATCTGGTGGTTAAGTAAGTTGAAAGAAGTCTTGTTGTTAGGCTAGGTGTTAGACCGAATGCATTTTAGCCTAGCCTGGTTGATAACGTTCCATCCCGGGGCAGCTAGCAAAATGGAGGGAGTCTTTAAAGTGACAATAAGAGGGCTAACATTCTTGCCTTTTTGCTTAGATAGATAAATGATAAAGAGAGAGAGAGACAGACAGACAGACAGACAGGAGAGGAAGGTTCATAGGTGTGGAGAGAAGGGCGTTGTAAGTTATCTGGCTACTTCTTGCTGATTGTATTCGGGGTTAAAGTTGTGAGGTGCCCTCCTTGGAGTTGAGGCTGCATACTCGCTGATATTGAAGGGTATGAGATCTGGATTGGCGAAGCAGGAGGATTTTGTTGACATTTTTGTGTGTGTGTTAGCTTGAATAAAGGCATTTAGTTGTTGGGAGGCAAAATGGGAGATAAAGTTAATACAGGTAAGGTTTAAAAGTGAGTAAGAGAAGGATGAGGAGTAGAGGCTTGAGAAATGGGGTTATTCAGCATCCAGGTAGAGAGGAATGACTTGGTTGGCCATGACTCGGTAGCCTGTCATTTGAGTTCTGTTGTCCGGTTTTGAAGTCTATGGACTGCATCCTAAACTATGCCTGACTTATTAACAAAAAGCAATTGTTTTTTGAAGATATATATAGAGATATCCCTTTTTTCAGTTGTTAGGTTAAGCACTCTCTTATTTTGGAGCCCCTGCTAAAGAATTTAATCGTAAATGTTTAATCCTGCTAGTAAGAGCAGGAGTTAAATTGTCCTTTTGGATTTAATTGTAGAGGAAGGGATTGAAGCTAATAGAGGGATTTGAATAGTCTGATTATCAGGTAGAATACTGATGTTTGAAGACTGGTGCATTAAAGTATAAATATCTGGCCAATTGGCAGGTAGACAGAGATAGGAGAAAGTGCCATATAGGAAGATAATTTGGGGGGCAGAGGCACAAAACCTATAGGTAATAGAGGTTACCTATGTGGCATCATCTTTTTTACATTTTTTTAAAAATTATATTTAAATATGTGGAGTACAATTCAGGGTTAAGTATACAAATGTCCATTATGCAGGTATCCATGTTGATGAGCTGTGCCCCTCCAGCAGAATCCCACTACTTCCAGTCTCGCCCACCCACCCC